CTCACACACACATACTCACACACATACACTCACACACACACATACTCACACACATACACACATACTCACACACACACACTCTCTTAACCTACATACACGCTCACACACACATATACTCAGAAGCATATACACACATTCTTTCTCACACACATACACACACACTCACACAACATGCACACATATACATACTCTAATGTACACACACAATCTCACACACTCACACACACACAAATTAATAGTCAAGGAGCTGTTAAAAGTGAGTGTGTGTAAAAGCAAAGGAAGGTAAGTTTGGGTTTGGGACTTGTTTCTTACATGTGTACACGATAGAAGACTTCCTAACAGTCTTGAGTCCCTGCAGGCACTCTAGAGTGCCCTTCTCAATGGATTAACAGTGTCTTGACATACACGATCCATTTGCATTTAGGGAAACTATCACTGTCTAAAACTCCCAAGGCATTATGGGAATAGGCTGTTCTTTGGAGCAGGGCTCGGGAGTCTAGCAGTTGTGTTGCCATGGAAATGGATGCTTTAACCTCTACCACTGGTTGCTCTGATTTATGAAAAGAATGTGAAACAGCAGATTTTTTTTAAAAAAAGGAAATAAAAAACTAAACAAAAAAGTTCAAGTCCTACTACCTTCTCTTCCATGTCACTTCCGGCTTCAGGTAGATTCAGAGGACTTGAGGAACTTGGTGTATCACCGGACTGGAAAAGAAGAGAGAGTACTTGGGGTCAAACATGGGGACAGGAAGTGCTGGGCAAACAACCTGCACAGTCCATGCCTGATCAGGGTGGCCTCCTGCTCCACACAGGGGGACACCTGCTCTCCCATAACCAACAGGGATCACTGTGGCGACTGAACTATCCTGTGCCACGGAGGGGCACACGTCTCCATTTCTTGAGTTCAGCGTGTTTCCCACCTGGTTAGTTCCTAGACTTAAGTCCTCATGCTTCCTTCCATGGCCTGAGAGAAGCTGAGGGGCTACTTGGCAGCCATCTTGCCTGGGAAATTGGGCCATGTTACACACAGCTCCAATCTTGGAGCTTTCAGCTCTCGGACTAGCTGGGAGCCTTCTTCCTACTTTTCACCCCTGAGACTCCTACTCAGCGAGGACAAAAGATCCTCCTGGAGCCAGATGCAAAGGGCTGGACTTAGACGGTGAACGACCAGGGAGGGAAAGCTGAGGGGGACACACCAGGCTTGCCCTGGAGACATCCTCAGATCACATACACCTTTAGGATGGAGCGGCTATCCTTCGGCCTTGTGCCGGTGTGTCAGCTTGCCCGGTCCACTCTATGCTGCACATTTTAAAAGGTGTCTAGACACACAAGTCAGGATTTTGTGACATGAATTAGTGAGCAGGTGCAGACCTGATGGCCTGAGTTTAGTTCCCAGAACGTATAAGCAGGAGGGAACTATTCTTATGAACCTTCTTCTGAATTGTACACATGTGCCATGGTGTGTAAACACACACACAAATTAAAATGAAAAAGAACATAAGTGAGCTCCAGAAGCTTCCTTGCTTGCCGTTATTACTCAGAATTCTAAACAGGAGTGGCCCTTTTCAAGGAAGGCTTCAAGTATCAAGCCCTGGCACCTGCCCTCCCCAGCATCCGTCCTTCCACACTGGACCAGCTTCCCGGTCTTCTTTTCAAGATCAGCCTGCTTTCTTCTGGGTCTTTGTGTTTAGCTCGCCTCTGTGCCTTGATTATTCTTCCATCTTGTCATTCCTTGGTCTGTTCCCAAGCCCGCATCTCAAAAAAATCCAACCTCTCTCACACAAAGTTACTCACTGTCTGGTTCTCGGCAGGCAGCATTTTGCCTGATCGGAAACGATTATCTTTACCTGCGTGGTGACTTGTGCACTCGGTGACACTTTCTCATTAGGATGTAAACCGCCAGAGTCCCTCCCGTGACAAATCTCAATCATCTCTCTACACCCACACCTAAGATAAGGGCTGCCGAATGAAGAGCCTTCCTCTCTCTGGAGGCTGCCTCACCTCCCACTGTGAAATCAGAAGTAATATAGCAAGGACATTCTTCAGTCCTCATGAATTCCATGTTAAAGCAATGGCTGTGGCTGCTGTCACCTGAAACTGGACAGGTGGGGAAGAGCATTTTAAAATCCACGAGGAAGGTGAGACACCGGTTCCTGCTTCACCCACCATCCATGGGTCAACATGTGGGTGCCAGGGGTCATCATGGCCTGGTCTCAGCAGAGGGGGCAGTAAGATGGACTGTCCCTCTTCATTAGAAACTGCTTGTCTTCGTTCCTACTCTTCAGACATATTGGGTGATAACAGCTATGCCTATTTTAAGAACAAACACTCAAGTTCTGGAATTCTGATAGACCAAGTATAGAAAACACTTTTAGAAAGACTCAAAGTCCACTGTCAGTAGAGAACCCCAGACTCTGGCTATCCAGAAGACTTTCATGACCTTTCTCCTACCTGTAGACATCCCTTCTGCTGCTGGAAGAACTCAGAATTCAGGATCTATTCAAAGCACTCCCTGAAGAGTGTCAATACACCAAATTTAGACAGCCAGGTGCTGGAATGTGACTTTCCAGGCTGAGGGGATTTCAAGCTAGTCTGTGTCACTATCTCACCAGAACCCCACTGGTTTCTTTTCCATGTCTCTTAAATTAGTCCAATTTGACAAATAATTGGTCAGTGCTACTCAGCTGGCATCTCCAAGTCCCGAGGAGACAGAGGTGGAAGATGCGGTTTTAGATACAAAGAAGCCAACATTCAGAGAAGGAGTGGAAATAATTTTACAAGTGCAGATACAGATGGGGGCTGTAAATGGGGAAGTACAGAATCCAGGTAAGAGTCACCCCACACCCCCAAATCCAGGAACAGCTCACCTGCCCAAGCCTCGAAGAGTGTATAGAAGGCACCAGGCAAGAACATTTGCAAAGCGCCTGTACCTTCCTCCTCCTCCTCATTTTTCTCATCGGTCCTCAGTGCCCTCAGGCCACAGCCTAAGCATCAGAAAAATTTCTCCCTACCTCGTTCCCTCCACAGCCCCTCCAGTGTAGATCGCAGGGGTCATCAGGATGCCACTGTCCACTGCCCGACATCCTGCTCTCTGGCTTATCAGAATCAAAGTTTCCCCCGGAGGACACTTACTTTGTTTTCCGTGTCTGAGAGGACAATATCCTGCTGGGTCACAATCTCCATGGGACTGGTGAGGACAAAGTCCTCCTCTGAGCTAGCGTCTGCACTGCCTGACTTCTTCATGGGAATGGTGTTGGATGGCCGCTGCCCAAACTTGATATTCTTGCCCAACTGTCGCTGGGGAGAAACAAAAGGAAGGCATTCTGAAACAAGCAAGGTCCGAACAGCCGTGACCAGGTTCCCCGGCATAGACAGGAAGCAGCAGGAGAGAGGGCATGCCAGGCTGCTGTCTAGAGGCACTGCCATGCCAAGGAACCCCGAAGCCGCCTTACAGTGTGTCCACTTGTTTCCTTCTAAAGAGCCATAAGCTTTTGAAACTCCAGCCACCCCTCGCATGGAAACAATGACGGTGTCCAGTAGGTACGGGAACCACATTTCAGAACCAAGGCTGGAAATACATGTTTTTAATTGTTTTGACCCATCTATAGATCTAAAATCTTTGTCATGTGTGAAGAAAATATTCAGAAGATAGGTACATGAAATGTAGGACCCATGGGGAGAAACCGAGACTCTTAGGGTGGTGGATACCTGAACTCCACAGCCACTTCTGGGTGGATACATTCCCCTGTGAGTTTTTACACTTCTTCACCTCGGTTGCAAATGCCATGCCAAAGCCACATGCTCAGGCCACAGTGGGTCATGGCTGAGGTGAAGAAGGTCCCAGGTTCAGCTAGACTTTCCTTGATAAATGTTGAAGTCACACCAGGGGTGGGAGTGGTCCAGTTTTCTTTCTTTGCTACAATTACATTATCATGAAATAGGGGCCATAAGGAACCTGGGGTGGGGGCAGGGAGAAAAAGGCCACAGAAGGACGGATGACTGGTAGGTGGCAGCAGAAGGGGCAGTTGAAGGAAGGCCAGAAGGGGGCTGCAAACAGGAATCTGTAAACAGTAGATTAGGCGAGGGCCATATTTAAAAAGGAAAACCGACTTCAGCTGTGGCCAGAATCTCCTGGGGGGTAAACTGCCTCCCCCACACCCCCTGCTAAGAACCACTGCTCTAGGCTGACATCCATATATGACTCAAACGTAATGCAGCCTGATAGTTAGCTTTAACCTGGCTGATAGTTCTAGCAGAGCTTCTAAAACGAGATTTAGCATCTGCTCCAACCCTATGCTGATTAGTTTTCCTGAGCTTGACACAAGCTAGAGGAACCTGGAAAGAGGTCGATCTCAACTGACAAATCTTCTCCATCAGATGGGACTGTGGGCATATCTCGGGGAGTGGGGGAGTGTTTTCTTGATTCTTAATTGATGGAGGAGTATCCAGCCCAGGCTGGGCAGGTGCTTCTGGGCTCTATAAGAAAGGTAGGCGAATTGGAGTCACTTAAGCGGCCTTCCTCAGGGTCTTCAGTTCCTGCTCTGAGTGGCTACCCTGGTTTTCCTCAGTGATGGACTGTAACCTGTTTGATGAAGTAAACACTTTTCTCCCAAGTTACTTTTGGTCAGTGTTTTATCATAGCAACAGGAAACCAAACTAGGACAAAGCCACTCACTTTGCAAAACCCAGTCCCGGTTCCTATAAGGAGAGGTGACTGACCCAAGCTCATGGGAAGGACGAGGATCCCAAAGGCGTCTTGAGACCGGGTCTTCAGAACTAACATCCAGGGTTGTAGCCACTGCCCTTCACGCCACCCTCTTAAACCCGACAGGCAGGGGGACAGGCAGACTGTCCCTCTCTTGCAGGGACAGTTATATAAGGAGATGAGGTGGCATTCTAAATATTTCTCTAGAGATCCCTGGCAAAAGAATCCCTCGAGGGACATGTCTCCTCTCCCTTAGAACTCAATGGGACCGGAGTTCACCCATGGTCAGCCAGCCCATCCCCCACCTGAGCTTGCCCACTGAGCATGACAGAGATGAGCCGGGGACTCCCCTGTCTGCGCAGCACGCTCCACCCCCCAGTCACCCAGCATGCCAGGTCAGGCGCAAGGGCTGGCACTCGGTCCGCTGAGATTTCAGCCTGCACCCGGCCCCCAGCTTGACAGGAAAAGGTGCACACCCAAAGCCCCCATTCAGCCGGGGAAGGAAAGCTTCAGCAACTCCCAAAAGTTTGCAGGTTGCTGAAAAAGGATACCTTCCAAAGCCAAGTGTAGCAGGAGCCGGCAGTTAGTATCTGCTCTAAGCAGGCCAATAAAGCAGCACGGTTAGAACAGCCGATGGAGTCAGACAAGAGGACAGGGAGTCACAGCCACAGGCTTGCCCTGTGGCTCTGGGGTTAGAGGGTGGAGATATGGGGAGAGAGGTAGGGGTGCTTCCTGTGGCCTCCCAGTCCAACCTTCTCTAGGAGTGTTGGTCATGAGCCTGACACTGTTCTAAATCTCCTTGGACTGGGGAGATTCCCATTGACAGAGTCTTTTTGGTTCCCAGTGCTCTGGGATGAGATGGAGGGGATAGGTTATTTTAGTCTCTTCTGCATTATACTAATGTAGCCTAGGCTGGCCTTGGGGCCTCCTGCCTGCACCCCTAAAAGTGGGAGTTAAAAGCATTTGCCACTTGGCTGAGTTTTCCTTCTAATTCAATTGATGAATTAGGACTGGACGTGTTTGTGGACTATTGTGAAATTCAACATGTGTATACATGCAAGACATAAGCCAGGTGGCCGGCACATCCACCACTGCACACACTTGCTACATCTTTGTGTCGGGAATGTTGAAAGTCCTCTTTTCTAACTATTTTGAAATAGACTATACATTATTGACCATAGTTACCCTGCTGTGCTGTAGAACACTACAACTTTATTGTCTTCCCAACTGTGATGGGTCTGTTGACCAACAGAGATGAAGGCCATTTCTTATACCTCCAGTGGAAGGGACACTTGCAACGCACTTCCTGGCATCACACTTAATTGACGCGGGGTTTTGTCATCGTCACAAAAAGAACACATATGCTTCTTTATGTGACCAGGGCTCCCGTTTAGAATGTGGTTGTTAGCTAGTTCTGATGCTTAAGAGACAAGAAAAAATGTGGCAAAACACAGTCACAGCCCGGGCAGAAATAAAGTCCAACGACAAGATGACCGTTGTGGCTACAAATGGGAAAGGAGAGGGCAAGCGAAGAGAAACGGTTGGTGGGGTAAGACTGGGCGGGGGCAGTAGACTGCACAGAATCACGCTGGGAAATGGGCAGAGGGGTGCCAAGAAATGAAGAGGAGACCAAAAGTGGGGCAAGGAGATGTGGCAGCAACAGCAAAGGTGGGTCAAAGAAGAGGGCAAAGGGGGATCCAGGACAGTGGGTTCAGTAGCTGGGTACCTGGGAGACACATGAGGGGAAGTGAGCAGGAAGGAGAGCGTGCAGTCATGCCGAGGCATTCATCCTGGAGAAATAGATAACGCTGTTGCTATTGAAAATGACAATGTGCTCTTTAGTGTAAGGCTGATTTGAAAATCCCCAGAGGAAAACAGACTCCGGCTGGTGGAGGGGGACCTGAGAGAGAACAACTTTGGGCAGTGGGGATGGGGACTGGGAACAGGGCTGGTCTCTGTCGTGTGGTTTTTAGATAAGAGCTGGTGGGCCAAGGTGGGGGGCAAGGCTGGAAGCCCGATGCCCTCTGTGGTTGGGTGTCAGGTGGTCAAGGACCCGTCTCTCACACCCTGCCACACGCCCTTCCTTCCCCACAGGGCCTTCTCCAAATACCTCTTTTAGGTGACTCAAAGGAGAATGGGTTGCTGTGACGTTTTGTAAGATGTATTGGCAACTAAGAGATTATTGCTAAAATCTATCTGGTAATTTGAGGTGTCATACGAACTATATGTGGATAAAGTATTTTTATTGCCTTTTCGTTGCTCAGTATTCAGGCATCGTCATGAAAGGACCCACGACAGAACTTGAGCAATCACTGAAAAATATTAGGCTGTTATAAGCTGGCCCTGAAGCTTAGCTTCCCCACAGCTCTGTCTTTGCACACGTCACGGTTATAACCGGAGACGCGAGTGGAGATTGGTCCACGTGTTGCCAGTGGCTATGAGTGGGGATACTGTTGCAACCGGAATGTGAACAGAAAGGAACTGTATTTTATTCATGCCACTTGGACCATTTTGCAGTATGGAATGCTCGCTCGGGAATGACGCTGCAGGGACGAACATCCATATTTATGAGGCTGGATGCATGGAAGTGCCTAGCACAATGCATTCCGCAGCTCCCTGGGCTGCCAGGGTTTAGAATTGCTCATATTCTTTTTTCTGCAGCCCTTTCCCCCCCCTCCCAAACCATGCCTGTAAGAGCAAACCATGGGGGGAGGGATTATGTGGGGGGGAGGGGCTATAAGCACAAACCGTGTGTGTGTGTGTGGGGTGGGGGTGCGGGGTGGGGGGAAGGGGCTGTCTTTTTGAGCAAACTGCAGACCCTTCCATCCCAGAAGTGAATTCTTTTTTCAAAGAAAAAAAAAAGGAAAAAAGAGCGTACGGATTTAGACGCCTGTTCTAGGAAGACTTGGCCAAGAGCTGGTAGTTATTCTTTCTGCCCTTGACAGCTGTATTAGATGTCAAAGAAAAAGAAAATGCTCAAATGTATGATTTTGGAATTCTCAAGTGGAATCCAGTTCAGTGGGAGACATGAGGCTACTAAGAATGGGCCCCCCCCCTTGCCCCACCTATGCCAAATAATCTGTGGTACAAATAACACAGCCACTTCCCGACTGAAGTGTGATACAATTCTACAAATCATCTACAGGCACAGAACGGGCTAGCCCTAGTTTCACCAGCAGCTGGTACATACCTCACAGCTGGGCCTGACCTTAAATAGAGAGGTGCTCTCAGGGTAATTATATAGGGAATGCCAAGGTCACAAATATAACCAAGCGCAAAGCTTATACAGCCGCCCTGTGCAGCAGCGAACAGCAATCTCTACAGACTTGAGATTTTAGGACCTGGAGGAGCCTTCAGGCTTAACCATCACAGGCACCCCCTTATTGTTCAAGTGGGGGCAGCGAGAGTCACCGAGATGAAATAAGTACTTGGCCCAAGGTCATATGAGCACACGGAGGCAGAGGCCTGACTCAGATGCTTCAGTTCTCCTGTGCGCTTGCATCCTTTCAAATGGTACCCATCCTACTGGCTGTGGACCAGATGACTTAGGTACCAGATCCTCAAAAAGGACACTATTGTTTAAACTACGTGTTCATTAAAATTTGTTCTCACGGCACGTTTTTACACTCAGGAAAATGAGCGGTTGTTCTTTTAGAAAGCTCAGTGGTTCGACACAGAAACGTTGCCGAGATCTAGTGATGTTATTCACTGCGCTGGATGCCATTTTTCATCAGTGAAGCCAGGCTGCCTCCTGTGGGTGCTCCGTGACAGTCCAAGCTGCTATGACACAAGTGGGCACGAGGGGGCAATCTTTCCAAATGCAAACACCTTTCCACGCAGGATGATGGGTTCTAAATGAATGTTGGTCAGAGGTCAGATAGTTTCTTTCTTTCTCTCTTTCTTTCTTTCTCTCTTTCTTTCTTTCTTTCTTTCTTTCTTTCTTTCTTTCTTTCTT